ACTCGGGACGGTTACTCGAACATGGTTTTCTTCCCGGAAGACTTCCCGTGGAAGAACAAGTCTCTGAAGGAGATGTTGGGACCCAAGTTCCTCAAGGTGAGTTTGCGTCAAGATCGTTTCCAGCTACCGCTGCGGCACGGCCACCTGTCTCATTCTGTAAGATGTGGTTGACTTGAAAGCTATTGATACCCGTCGTGACCCTTCGTATTTTTTTCCATTTTATCGCGTCGTTTACGCATACACAATACATACGATTCCGTCCTCTTTTTTGGTGTCGCTGGAGAAAAACTCTCCAACCGCGTTTTTTTTCTGTTTTTTTGTTGCTTGTTTTTCTGTCTACACGTGCTTGTTGCTTTTGCTAATGATGTCGTCGTCGTCCTTGCTGTCGTCGTTGCAGGCTGATGGCTCTGAGGTGACGGCGGAGGCTCTCGAGGGCAAGGTGTTGGCCGTCTACTTCAGCGCCAGCTGGTGCGCACCTTGCAAGCAGTTCACGCCTATCCTCAAGAGCGTCTACAGCAAGCTTCAGAAGGACGGTGAGAAGACTTCGGTCACAACGGTGTTCTATGTTGCCGCGGCTTGATGGCGGGGCGTCGAGCAACCACTCTACGCCTACCCTTGGTGGCACCTGTGCTGATAAGGCACGACCCGCTTGCTTGAAAATGAGACACAAAGAAGCACGACAGTACTGCGCATAGAGAGGTGGCCGACGAAAATGGTGTAATTGGCTATTGCTTGGGGGGAATCTTCACAATCCTACGTGCACAGGATCATCAGGTCTGTAATCAGTTTATGATATCCGCGATCAATTAGAAATTCCCTACTGCAGTTGTGTACATAGCCGAACCAGTGGCACAAAACCTCTCTTGCGTAGTGCACCTTCACCCGTTTCACCCGCTGCATCGACAAGTAATAACCATACCTCGTCCAGTTGCCGTCGTCAACGCTCGTTTTTGCCTTTTCTGCTCTTAGCTCTGCCGTTGTCTTTCTTTCTCGTGCCGTGCTGCTGTGGTTTTGTTGTGGTTTGTGACTGATGTTTTGCAGGCAAGCCGTTCGAGATCGTGTTCGTGTCGAGCGACAAGAGCGAGGAAGAGTTCAGCACGTGAGGAAACTGGAAAATAAATACTCGAAAAATGTGACGAGTACAGCAGTACACAGGGAAAACGCTTGTGTTTGCAACCCTCAAACCTGGGTTTGTGTACTGTGAAGGTTGTGCACCGCGGTGCTTGTCGCGGGGGGCGGTTGTTTCGTGCGAGCAAGAGAGAGAGAGAGGAGCACGGCTGGGGTCCCTCCGGGGGGGGGGGGGTACTCATGTGTTGCGTGCCTTATAGACCTTTGACCCCCTGGGGGTACAAGAGAAAGGAAGCAAAACATGTTCAAGTCAAGTTGTGCTGGGTCATCAATGGTGATGTAGCTGTGCGGGGGCGAGAGCCTTACTCTCGCCGGCGCGCTGTACTACTAAACGAAAACGCCTCTTTGCATGGTTCGGCTGAACATTCAGCGGCTCCGCGTAAAGTTATATCTCCATTACCTCTTCCTCCGCAACCTCCATTTCTTCACAGTTTTGTCCCCTACCCCCACCCCCTCAAAATGGGCCTCATTTGTGTTCTTGGTCGTGTTATGACAGTTACATGGGGGACATGCCGTGGCTGTCGGTGCCCTTCGACGGGAAGACTCGCGGCACCATCGCCCAGCTCTTGGGGGTGTCGGCCCTCCCCACCCTGCTCGTGTTCGACGAAGAGCAGCAGCTCATCACCGCCAACGGGAGGCAGGAAATCATCAAGGACACCAAGGCCGAAAACTTCCCGTGGTACCCGAAGGTGACTTTGGCGGTGGTAACGCTGGTGTGTTGGCGCTTGTGCTGGTGTTGGGGGTCGGGGGGCGCTGTTGTTTTGATACATGTTATGGTGATATTTGGTGTTGACTCTAGGTCGTTAAGGGCGCGGTGGGGATCGCAGTACCTCCTCTGAAAAATCCAGGAAACGCCTGCATATCTCGGTTTTCCAAAGTCTAACTCCAGTACGAAACTACCATCGTAAATTAACCGCCCGCAGCGGTCGCTTGTGTACAATGTTAGTAGGTGAGGTTGTACCCCTTGCGATACACTACAGACTAGCGGTCCGCGATTTTCCAAACGATCCTTCTATCATCGAGTTCGGTGAGCTACAAGCTAGATTTTTGAAGCTGCTGTGCGGTCCAATTTTGAAACGCTTCAAGCACCTTTGCCTAAAGGCTGGACATGCATATACATGACCCTAGGCATTCAAATCGACAATGGGGACCAGCTGGATTATGTGAGGGAAGAGCTGCGCTGAAGTTCGCGGCCCCATACACTCACATAGGCGGTGATTCGTGTTCACCGTGTGCTTGAAGCGTTTCAAAATTGGACCGCACAGCAGCTTCAAAAATCTAGCTTGTAGCTCACCGAACTCGATGATAGAAGGATCGTTTGGAAAATCGCGGACCGCTAGTCTGTAGTGTATCGCAAGGGGTACAACCTCACCTACTAACATTGTACACAAGCGACCGCTGCGGGCGGTTAATTTACGATGGTAGTTTCGTACTGGAGTTAGACTTTGGAAAACCGAGATATGCAGGCGTTTCCAGGCGTTTCCTGTTTTTTTGAAGAGGAAGTACTGCGATCCCCACCGCGCCCTTAAGTTACAATAACTGTGTGCGTGCTGTTGCTGTCGCGATTGTGTACACCGAGCCGGAGGCAGACTTGCCCCCAGGATAAACACCTCGTATTTCCCTCGTCTCGAGACGTACATCCATTTCCTCCTTCTGCCTCCCTTGTTCGTACCTGGCATTCTACTGCGGTGTGAGCCCCTCTCTCCTCTGCCTTCACGCATCTGATTTCTTGTCCACCACGTTTGTGTAACGGTTGGTGCAACCTTCGTTCCTCACGGTAACGTCGGAGAGCAAACTAGTCAGTACAGCAGTAGGTTTGGCGTGGTTCAGAGAACGGTGTGCTTTCATTTCAGCCTTGGGTCAAGTTTTGAGCGACGGCGGAAGGCCACGGGGGTGCGGCAAGTCGAAACTCGTACCCTCTGACTGGCTGAAGTGGAAGATCACTCGTGTGTGCCCCTACTCTTGTCTTTCACACACGTTGCCGCGGCTCAACCGCCGTTCCCCATGACGTGGCCTCGTCTCCGGCTTGCTTCCAAGCCATGTTTTGCTCAGAGGACCTTGGTGTACGCAACAGGGTGCGATGTTGGGTGATAACTTTGCCCCCCCCGCCCACCTCTCCGTTCCTATTCGATTTGTTTTTGTACAGGCGCTGGCTGAGCTGGTGGAGTCTCCCGAAGTCATCACCCAGAAGCCATCGTTCATCGTGTTCATGGAGGGGGGAGACAAGGACGAGCAGGTGTGGGTGAAGGGTGAAGATTACTGTAGGAATTTGGGGGGGGGGGGGGGGGGGGGATTCCCCCTTTTTTTTTCTTTTCCGGGTTTTTTCAACCCCTTTCCCCCCCCCCCCAATTTTTGGGGGCGGGGGAAACCCCCTTTTTTTCCCTACCAAAAAGCCCCCCGGTTTTCGGGGACCGGCCGGGGGGGGGGGGGGGGGGGGGCCCCCCCCCCCCCCCGGGGACCCCCCTTTTTTTTTAAAAAGGTTTTTACCCCACTTGGGGCCCCAAAAAACCCCCCCCCCCCCGGGGGGTTTTCCCCCTGGGGTCCCCGGGGTTTTCTGGGGGTTTTTTTTTTTTTTAAAAACCCCCCCCCAATTTTTTCCCCCCCCCGTTCCCC